TTGGATTCACTGCAAGTGCGTTGGCGACGGTCGTCGGGGAGGAGAGAGTAATCGCCCGAGGAGGCCAAGTAGCAAAGGAGACATGGTTGCGAAGCAGACGGCCAGTGGTGGCAGAAGCCGAGAACGCCTGTGGTGTTCGAGGGCTTCTCGGGAACGGTTAGTGGTGATTGGAGCAGGGTCGATGATGACGGTGGGTGGGGACAAAGGCAGTTATGGTCCTCCGCGGTGGCAGCATGAGCGGTAAAGAAGGCTGGGATGGTAACGCTACTGGCGCCTGCGTTGGTGGTGGGCACTACCACTGATCCCCGTGGGAGCACCTTTGCTGCATCCGCCGTGTGGGTGGCGGTAATGGTGGTAGGAGAGTTTAGGGAATTTTTGTACCGTAGTGCAGCGGCCTTGAGGATCTCCGCAATCACGCTCGACTTGCTCTTGAGATCAGAAATGCTGCCGTGAAACGATGCCACATCGGTATCCTGTGGATGCAAAATCAGAAAATCAGCCGTGAAACAGTATTCGAGGGGCCCTGAAGACACACATCTGACATTCAGATCCAACCGCGTTGAAAAAATTAACACGAAACACGAACATTTCAGGGTTAAGAGAATGTATGTTGTTTTTCGATTGTCATGATTTATCATGGCCTCCGCACGCAATTTATTTTGAAGAGAAAGTAGTCTGAAGGTTTATGAGACCGCTAATTTAGAAGTCACAACATGAGCGTTACTTTTTCTTGCATAACCAAAACCATTTGCTCGCGCGACCCAAATATATGCGAGTGAAATGATTTCGTATTCAAAGTAGCCAAATACTGGAAGACAGATTTTCTGCGAATAGGCAAAGGATGTGCTCAGCTTCAGGATGGAATACAACTCGCGGTGTCTATGACAACCTCCAGATAACCTACGCAAAGGCAGGAGAATGTGTATCGTCATCTAAGTTCGAGTCTACAAGACTATAGCAAGAAAGAAGACGTAGGTTAAAAGTCTGGGGCTCATATCAAGAAAATTCCATGCTTCATAATTCACCCAACATTACGCCATCTGGTCCACGTCAGACGAACACGACTTCACGTGTATAAGCAGGTACGTGCTTCCTGAAAAACACAAATCTCC